TGAGCTGAAAGAAAAGCTTTATTTCTAAAGATACACAAAGGGAATGACATAAGCTGTGACTGATGAGGTGTGTCTGAAATGTTGACAGTTATCAGGCAAATGGCATTTCATTCCTCTTGCCAGTGATGATGAAGCCCAGCTCAGCATTACAATCTAGAGAAGTTGATCTTATTCTTGGAAGCGTGGTTTCCTCCTTTTTAGGAGGAAAAATATGAAACAAAAATGTTTTGGTTCTTTGAAAATACATGTTTTATATGAAACAACTATCTATGAGTTCCTACTCTTAGAACAAGTAGTGGGAGGGATTAGACTTAAGGCAATATTTTCCTTCATTTTTTCTCTCACCATTTGACTTGTAAGCTCCTGGCTTCTTTTTTACACCATAGAGATGAGCTTACAAAGCAGTTCTGATGTGTCTTGTCACCATGAATCTGGCAAACTTCTTCCAACAATAAGAAATTGTGCAGTACAGTAGTCTTTGCTCCTTGCTTTGGAACTTACACTGGAAGATCTGGACTTTGGGGCTGATCTTGTGTCCAAAGACTAAAACTCCTGTTAGCAGCAGCGGAGCAGAATTGACTATGTGGTCCATAGATAGTGATTTGAGTATATAGAGAAAGGTAGGTGTACTGCTCTTCATATAGTTGGTGTCTGGTTTTTTTTTTGTTTGTTTGTTTTAAATGAGAACTGATCTGGTAAATCATATTTAATTAAATTTAAAGTGAGTGAAACTTTGAATGAAATAAAATGAGACTTCAAAAGAAAATGAAAAGAGGGAGAGATCAACAAAGAAATACCAAATATACACAGGGGGTGGGCAGGGAATAATTCCATTTTGACTGTAAAAAAGATTATGTACTATGATGGTTGTTTGCACACACAGAAATAAATGCCAAGGCTTAGGTACTGTTTAGCTGTTTAGGGCAACAGAACTAATCTAGGAATAATGATCCAGCATATCAAACTAGTGGGATCTCGTAACATCCATCATTGAACCCTACCCAAGATATTTGGAAGCAGAACATCAAAAATGAATGTCATTTGGCAGCAGCTAGATCACTACCAGAGTTAAAATAGCCCTGGACATGTAGTTCATGATGTGTGATATACAAGTGGTACATATCTGTTTACTGCGGGTGTTGTAGTGGTGGGGTTTGAACTAACAGCCACGTGTCACATACTTCAGCACTCAGCTCTTGGGTCATAGAGAAAAGAATCTACATTGGAAAGATATTTAACTTATATTTATGAGTAATATTATGAGATATGCAAGATTTATATAATTACTTTGTTATTTATTGTCTGAATATCATAGCAGGCATAACAAAAGAATATTATTTGAGTCAGGTCAGTTACCCCTTTTATTCTTTGGTGTAATTGTATGGTATGTTGAGATAAGTTTTAGACTTTGCATTTGAAACCCATGCATTTACATTTGTACATAATGCCATAATAATTTTAAAAGTTTATTCTACAGACAAAGGCATGTATTCTCTGAGTTGTGTGGAATTTGAAAAGATAGCTTTTAAGTCTCTGATATGGTTCTTTCTACTGAGTTGCCTCAGTGGTAGCCCCTGTAAGTTAGTGAAGTCTCTCTTTTACAAAGGATTGCAGCAAGAGGCCTCAGAGTTGCAGAAATCATAGAATATGATATATTGAAATGGAAATGAAGACAACAACCTTATAGTCTGGAAAAATCACTTGATTACAAAAGACTGGTTTTATTTTTGTTGTTATCTGACACTCACTTTTTAATCTAAACATATTTGATTTTTTATTTTTTGTCTTTCTTCTATTCACTATAATTTCAATGATAATTTGTCAGTGTCCCACATCTGATGGAATTTTATCTAACTTCCATTTGCCTTTTTGCATTTCTTTGTCAAGTGTTATCTGATCTAATAATGACTTTGAAAGTATATTTATTTGATATTATCTGTCTAGCCTTTATAAATTTTCTCATCTTCCCTAATTTGTACATTTTTATGAAAAATGTTTTACATTTTATTTTATAAGAGTGACTAGGAGTTGCAGGCATGAAATAAGACTCCATTGTTGAACAGAGTATACCTATGTTAACAAAATGATCTCTTTTTAATTTTTCAGTTATTTCCATGTCATATATGATACACAGAATAAAAGACAAATGATGGTTCGAATTCTCCCTCACATTCAGAAGTCAGAAAGCCCTGCTGATTTATTTTAACTTGCGTTAAGCAGCAGTTGCAGTTTCTGCAACTGTAATGTTTTTAACAGTTTAGCATTGCCAACTTTTTAATTCTCATTCTTACAGAAGTGCTATACTTGTGCAACACTGAGAGGAGGAAAAAAATTAATTTTTAAATAAACAAAGTAGTTATAACTTGAATTTACAGGGGGAGCAGAGCTGTTTAGCAAGTAGGAGCGTATTCTATTTTGCAAATAACAACTTTGCTCTAAGGTGAGAAGGAGAAGAAAAGCAATCACTATAAAAATATTCAGTCTATTTGTTTTTTTTTTTTTTTGCATTACTATTGTTTGTAACATCTGTAATGATGAAAGAGGACTCCTCTCTGGGAGATTATGTATAAACAAAGAATCAAAATGCCATTCTTTCTTCAAAGAGCTTTTAGGTTTATATACTTTGTTTATAACCATGTTTTTGACATAATTTAGGATATTCTGCTATGTAATACATTTATGGAAAGAGTTAAAAATATTTTTCTGACTTGCTATCTAGTTTCATGCATCAAGCCCATGCCCTGAATGACAGCAAGGCTGTGCAGATTAATGAATCTAGAGGCAAAGGTGAGGAAGATAAAGATTTTATTTTCCCCTCCCAAACCAACTTTTGATTGACTTTGTGAACCAAGTAACATACAGTTCCTCCCATACCCTGCTGAAGTCACTCCCTCTCCCCTTGCCCCCCCCACCCCAAAAGCTTTGTTTTTAAAAGCAAATAATTTGACAGAAAGTTTTGAGATCCTTTCTGGGGGTTACTGGGGAAGGAAAAAATAATTTTTCAAGTCTTCTATAAATAATACTGACAAAAAATTAATAGAAATTCTATTGTAATGGAAAAAAATGGTTATCTAAATATACAGAATATTGCTTATAATGGGCTCTAAAGTTCTGTGTCCTTTATCTGTGGGGATACTTCTGCCTGTTTCCCAAATGAAAGCAGCTTCTTCTGTGCTGGCACACAGTAACTATAGAAACAAATAACAGCCAATATGGTTAAATTAATAATATTTTTCTGAAATCCTGTGGGATGTTATTTCTGTTTCTGAAAAGAAATCTTTTCCATGTTTCCGATTTCCTCCCATTCTACTCTAAACAGTTGCTCAAATTCAGTGTCTCAAATTAAAATATAGAACTAGCATAAGAGCTCAAGTAAATACTGAAGCTATAGATTCCATGTTTGCAATAGGATCAGGCAGAAACCTGCCGTGTGTCATGTGTTATTCCACTGTTCAAAGTTGTTCTGTGTTGCAGATTTCAAAACTGTATTTTAAAAAAAACTTACACCCCTGGCAATCGGTCCAATTACGCTATTTTAAGGTATATTTTATTGGCTGAAACAGAATCAGTGTTATCTTTTCTAATCTTTTTCTAGTTCATTGAAAGGTGCAAAACAAAAAACAAAAAAAGCCTTTCCAGCTCCTTTAACTGATGTTGGATCTAATCACTAGCTCTGACAGCTTTTTGTGATGGTCACATGTAATGAGCTTTACTTTTTAACATGTTTTCCTTAAGAAAATGTTGTGCTGGAATTAGTATGACTTGAACATCTACATGGACAATAAGTAAATAATCTATTTTGTTTTCTATTGAGAAATTTTGGGAAGTCAGCATAGTGCCTGTATAGGGGGAAGATATATGTAATGTATATGTGAAAAGACTCTTGAAGTGCATCTGAAAAGCCACCACTTTGTAAGAAAGCATAGGAAATGGAGAGTTATCATAGGTCACGAGCCTGTGTATCTAGGTGAAGAAAATTACTGTCAGGTGTTAACATACAATGTAATTTTATAGCTTTGGAATTAAGCTCAGCTCCAATAAGTATGTAACGTTTTTCCACTTCAAAGCCCAGAAGACACGTGTATTTATAAAAAAGAATGGAGCATGATGATTAATTCTTCTTCTCACCAAGATCACAGAAATAAGAGATCTCTTTGGCAGAGTGGTGATCAGTAGAACAGACCAGAATGAATCCACAGCCTATCTTGATGCTGCTGTGCAGGAGCAGCCTTGATACCATCTAGAGATAGAAGTGCCAGAGTGTCACAGAATCACAGAATGTTAGGGATTGGAAGGGACCTTGAAAGATCATCTAGTCCAATCCTGTCCAGATCATGAATGATAGCAATAGTATAGCTGGGGGAGAAACTTAGCCTACAAGAGTGTTTTGGAACGTGCTTACCCTTAAGTGTGAATGGGCACTGGTATCTACACCTGACTGCACTGATGTGCCCTGACTACCACTGTACCACCATGGTACAAACAATGTGAAACATCTGAGATGGTAAAAAACTTTTTTAGAAAGACCCTGATGTCACAGGTGGTATTTGTAGGCAGACTGAGGGCAATTTAAGCTCTAGGATAAATTATGTTAGTTTTATGGAGCTGAGTCAGAAGCACACCGGGCTTCAGTCTCCTTGCAGCACCTACCATTTTAAGCAAATATAGGCATAGCCTTAATTTACATATGTTAATCCTGTTACTCCAACTTGATATAATCTTGCTTTGAATATCAAATTTTCTTTCTTTTTTTTGCCATTTAATTCAAGACTGATTCAATAGTGCTAAGCCTGCTACAATTGTTGCAAAGGACCCAGAGCTAAGTTAATTAGCTTTTACTAAGGTACACCTTCAGGTCTGAGCACCTTTGCATATGTTCTGGATTTTAAAACCATGTGTTAAGCTTTCGTGATGGCAAAGTGGTTTCTCTGCCATTCTTCCAATATTTTATAAAGTTTATTGTGAAGATTTTTCATTCTGAAATTTTCTATTTTCTTTAGGGAACAGCAATATCACAGTCTGGAGTCTTACCAGCTATACCAGGTAGGAGCCATTTAGTTGTTTGCTTTGTTAAATAATAATATTTAAGTCCCAAATTGTGATGAGAGAAGCAGAAAATATATAGAAGCAGAACTAAAGACTATATTGAGAGGTATCCTGTTTGTGGTTGGTTTTGCTGCTGCAATTCATGACTGACAATTATATAATACATTGTAATCTGTAGTATCTTTGGTTTCAAAAATTAATGTATTTGTTTTTCCCTTCCTTTTGTAATCTAAAGAGGTTTAAATTTTTCAGTTTCCCTATAAAGTTGTTTTGTGCTAGTTCTGCATAGTTGAAGAAAGTAACGAAAATGTTCTTTTTGGGCTATATTAACAGCAAGGGGAAACTTGATTTATACGCTCAGTGTGTACACCCAGTTTTCTAAATAGAACAAAACCACAGCAATGGGTCCTTGCCAGAGGCAACATGGAGATGCTTCACTCACGTCAATAGAACTACTGATCAACCAACAAAATCAGTAAAGGGAGGAAGCTGAGTATCTGGCCTGGAAAGATTATTTAGGCAACAGTAACATGCTGACTATCTTTGCATTGTAAATCTGCTTGTCAGTAGAATGTGTTGGTCATCTGGAGTTCTCTTATGTAGCCAAACTGGTCTGGCACATTTTATATCATCAATTGACTTCAAAGATAACATTTTGTAAGCCTTTCGTTTGCTGTCTACATCTTATTCCTTTGAGAGATCTATGCAAAGAAGTAATTTAGTGTCCTAAATGTCTTTATATTCCTTAAACTGTTTACCTGACAATTCAGCAGATCTGTTAAATTTCTCAGGTTGCCTGCTTCCAATGGACATAGAACAATTCTTTGTGCTTGGGTTTCTTTATTACTTTTAAAAACCTTGGCAAATAGGTAAAGAAGTATAGCTGATTTATACTTGTGTGGACAAATCCATTAAGATACCTAGGATCAGGAGGTGTCTCTGGAGAAGGTCATAAGTAACTCTATTCCTTTGTCTGTCTTACTAGGAGAAAATCCAGAAGCATTTAGTGGATCTTGTTCCTAGTTATTCCACTCAAGTCAGTGGAATTACTCTTGATTTATAGAGGTGTAAGTAGAAGCACAAATTGGATCATCAACTCTAATTTTATCTTTCTTTCTGGCACTCAGGTTTCTAGTCCTCTAATCAATGCAAGGAAATCAGAGCATTTATGTGTGTAAATACAGGGGAACTTGGGTCTGTGGTGGGCCCAATATTATTTCTGCATTGATTTCGGTGGCAGATTAATTGTGGATGCAAACAATATATGATAAAAACAATCTGAGACTATTCATGCAGATGAAGGAGTTAGCTGTTTTGACAAAACCTACCATTAAGGAAATTGGAAGTGTAGAAATACAGTACAGATTTTTAGATTAACAGAAAGGGAAGATACAAGAATGAAGAAATTTGAGTGGGTGGGTTTTCATGTCTGGTATACTGGGAAAATATTGTTTAAGAAAAGAACTGAATACTTGTTGGAATAAGTATAAAAGCTTTAGGACAATGCAGCATCTAAAGCCAATGACTGAAGTTTTTTGCTATCTTTGTGGAGTTTCATCTCTCAAATACTCTCATTATACACCTGTAGAACTTTACTCTTCAATACTACAATATTTTTCAGAATACAAAAGAATCTCATGTTTTCTCTGTCTCGTTGTCACACTTTTATTATCCTAAAATATTTCATATTAAAATATTGTCTTTTATCTATGTGAACATTTCAAGTATAATTGAACTCAACATTGCAAAGCTTTCAAAATATTACTGTAGCCTTTGAATGTTTTGCTTCCACTATCTTTAATCCAAGCCATTAACCGAAGGTCCCTGGGTGCTCAGTAGTCATTCAAACAGTTCTGTTGGACTAAAGGAACAGCATTAGAACTTTTCTATCTTTCTCTATTATGATTTTTTAATCCATTTTTAAGAATAACATAAGGGCATACTAATTTGAGGTAACTACTTTCAAAACCTGCCTTGCGCATGTACGTGGCAAGATACCTCTACTAGTATGAATGACTGTACAATGACCCAATGCACAAACGTTTGCTAGTGTAGCAGTCCACTTAATCATAATCACATTTCTTTTTTATCACTGAAAGGCTTGTATTTTCATTCAAATACACTTCATGAATGCAAACCCACCTCTTCCAGTGCTACAGTTGCCCACATGTTCTATACAATATTTTTGCTCTTGAATGCCTCAATTCTGTAGCAAGAAATGGAGTTAAAGAGTCAGGATCATTTTTTTTAATATTTTCCAGTTTATTGGTAGTGTATGTGGGCGATGATATTCTATTTTTACTGTTAGTTATATATGCCGAGCAACTTCAGATAAATGTGTCTAATTCTGATGGCAAGCTGAAAAGTGTTCATAAATGCGGCAACAGTTCTGAATTGTATTACCAGATGGAAAAAACAAGTTGGGGTGAATAATTTAATCCTGGTTTAAATAATTTGGTTGCCTTTGTTATAAATAATTTTGCAAAGATTGATTTGAAAGAGAGACTGAATTAGATTGCTTGTATTTGTAGGAGGAAAGTGTTACCATTGTTATCATAGCTTTGTACTACAGATGAAGGTAAGGGATTCTTTGGAGTTGTATGATGAGGGAATGCCTCCTTTTAACTATAATAGACTGCATTTATGGTTATTATCGACCTTAAAATACTATGGTAGGATAGACTTCCAAAAATGTGATTCAGATTTCCTGATTTCTAAGACTGCTGGATTCTGGAGGCACTTAGGTTTAGTACATTTGTTCTAAGAAGTTCTTATGGGATCTATACAGAGTTTCTTATGGATGCTTAAGAAATTCTGTAGTGTGATCTAGTGGATGCAATTTTAGAGATACGTACATAGGTCCTTTTGTCAGGAGGTGCTGATGTGTTTTGAGTTAAGGGATCATGAATGAGATGCACATTCAGTGTTGAGAGGTGGAAGGAATAGACAGTACATTCCTTCACCAAATGGTGAGCTGAAGAGCTCTTCTGCATGTATGTCTGACAGATGTTTGTTTAGCATCTTCTGCAATGCAAAACCTTAATCCACATTAAATCATCCAAAGTCCTTTGCTATTCTTACATTTAGAATGTATTTCCTGACAGTTGTGGTGTTTCTCACTGTGATTTAGTCCTGTTATTTAAATCTTGTGCTCCTTTCTAGTCCACAGCTTAGACAGACCCTCCAGCTCTTATAACGTCTTCATGCTCTCCTTCAAAATATTTGGATTTTCTCAGATGAGTAGAACTCAGTCACAGCTCTCCTGTTTTATGAATGATCTTTAAACCATGAAGTTGTTTTGTGCTCAGGAAAAATGCCACTATTTCTGTCCTCAGTTGCCAACCCTTCCAAGTGAACTGAGCAGTTTGAATCCCAAGACTCTTATTTAGAGAAGCTAAATTGAGAGCTGGAATGGGACCCTCTGCAATCCCTGCAGAAGGGATTTCATGCAGGCTCTAGGCACCATATTTCAGAAACTTTTGTCCCTTCTTGTTAGCTACAGGGAAGCTGATTGCCTAGACATTTCTAGGAGCCTGACTCAACCTTGGGCATTTTGACACTCAAATTAAACTTCTGTAGTGGGAGGTCTGATCTCTCTGTACTTCTGTGCCATGGACTCTGGCATTACAAAAATCAATAGCTGAATGGGAAAATAAGTTAACAAATACCCTCCCAGGGAAGCAGTGTACTTTAATATTGTTAAGTTTTGTGACTCTTAAATTATCTTTTCTTCTTTTTTGTCTGTACAGTTTCACTCTTTCCATATTCCACAGGAGCAAATTCATCAGCATTGCAACAGACACTCTTGCTATCTGACAGCCTCTCTGCTTGTAATACCAAACCCGCAGAGTGCTTGATGGGAAACGATCTGAGAGAATGAATTAAGGAATAAATATAAACCAATGCTGCGGATTGGAATTCAGCTGAAATGTCAGTTGAATGCTGATTATGAACATTGTATCTCTAATAAATTGTTGTTAGGTATATAGGGAGTCAAAGCAGGGAGATAAAAAGAAAGAATAAAATTAAGTATATAACAGGTGATGGATGCTGAAAATGAACTCAGCTGTCTGACAGCTTGGCTTTTATGGTGGAAAAATAGGCTTTCTTTCATGCATTTTAAAAATTTTTATTACAAACCTATGCAGCCTGGTACTTCTATTCCAAGTTTAGGAGTAAGCTTTCAAGGAATTAATCGAGAGTAGTGAGAAAGAAGAATCTAGGCCATACTGTGTTGATTTTTATTGCTTAGGTTGAAAATTATAATTCACAATTTTTTTTTTTCAGGAAATCTGTTGTCAGCTCTTCAGAGGTAGGAAGACAAAGTACACTATGATACTTCTATTGAGCCAATAAAGGACTGTGTGCTGAACAACGTCCACCATAAATATGTCATACCTCATGGGGCTTAAACACTGTAATAGAAGAGCATTATTATAATGAGGAGCTGATTACTAAAACCCTGCCATAATATGACATGCTCTTTCTTGATTGTGCTTTACTTTATAAGTGCACTCAAAATAATTCTGTAGTGGAAGAAAAACAAGAGCTCAGAAAAAGTGATACAAGTAAGCTGATTAAAATATGGGTTGCATTTACAAGCTAAATCTTGTCTTTAGTGATTCTATGAATTACTAGGGGCTTGACAGGAGGGGGGAAAAAAGAAAAGTAACTGTGGTGAAACCATATTCTAGTGAATTATCCAAATGCTGCTGCTTCATCCTTTGGTCTGAGTAGGTCCAGCAGGTTCCTCTTTCCTGTTTTGTGGGTGACAGAAGGTGGCAAATCCATGGCACAGTGTCCTTCTAGTCATGCCTTTTCTGTATTCCTAATTTGCTTTCCCTTCCCTGACACTGAAATATCCCAGCCTTCTAGGACACAAAGGTGAAGAACCTTATTTGCACACATAGCGATTATTTCAGCTTTTTTTTGTATCTATTAAGGAAACACATTATGTGACCTTCATTCTTAGCCAGTGTAGATCCTGAGCTTCACACACATCAAGATTTTTGGAGCGAACGTATGTAAAGCATCTTTGAAGGTATATTTTTCAAAAAATAAACACTGAGTTTCCTGTTACAGGAAAATGGTAGTGATTCTAGTTCAACACTTCTGCATTTTTAAGGATGGGAGGCTAGGCTGGAGTGGCCCTACAGCATGGAAAGATGAATAATAACTAGAATTAGTTAGATCCCCTGAGATTCTTTTGGATACACTAATCACTTTGAAAATTGAAGAGTAACAAACTTAGGGAAGTTTTATAGGGCAATTTTGCGTCACCAGGAAGTCTTTTGTTGCATTTACATGAAAAAACCTTCTGGTGTACATGCAGTATTTCTCCTGTCAATCAGTAGCTCTAGGTTTTGGATGGTCCTTTAAGCAAGGTATCTATTTTCAAAAGAGTACATGGGAATGTTGCTTGTCTGTGTGGATCAAAGTACTTCATAATAAAGGTAGTTTTAATTCAATAAGAAGCAAGAATTTATTGTAGAGCATTGTGATTTCTTCTGTCCTGGCTCCTTGTCAGTGAATGTAATAGCCCAGACCTGCAGAGTTTGTGACCTACACCGTGAAGGCAAAGTAAAGCTGGGCAGTAAGAAGGGATCACCTGGTAAATACAGTGTGGTGTGGCATGTGTGTACTCACTGACCATGTAATGGTAGGTGACAGGATTTGAAAATGTAAAGTGTCTGGGATCAGTTTACAGCATGTACTCAGCTTCCCTCTCTTTTTTTTTTTTGTTTGTCTTTTTTCATGGCTCTTTCTTGTAGCACATGTGCTGTAAACTGCTTATTTTTGAAGAGTGGGCATAAAGAAATGACTATGAAGTTAGAAAAATATTTCAAATAGAAGTTGTCTTCATCGAGCTACATAAAACCTTTGAGTCTAATCATATGTAGGAATGCAAAATATTCTGCAGCATATTTTCCTTTTGCCACATTTTTAATATAATCTTCCTTTTACATGTTGAGAACAGAACAGAAATAACTTTCTTGATGAGCTACTCAGTTTTAAAAAAGACTTAAGCGAGTCAGCCACATACAGAACTGGATGGCAGGGGAAACTGAAAAAGTTATTCTTAACAAACCCTTGTAAGACAAAAAGAATGATGGAAGGGAGTGTTGGTCTCCTGCTGGATGCTTTATGTGTTCAGAAATTTATCTTGCTAACTTGCTTTTTCCGTTCCTCCAAGTGTTATTCTAGGGCTCATAAATGAGAAACAAACCAGTTTATATGTAGCTGTAAAGAAGAAGGAAGAAAAAAAATATCTAGGTCGATCTCTGTTGACATGTGTTTATATGATGCAGTTCAAAGCTTCAGAAAAATTCCATGAGAGATTTGACTATGTAAATATTTATTAGTTGCCAGATTTGAAAATGAGGAAAATGCAACAGGTCAAATCGTGAGGTATTAACATAGTTCTTTTAAATGAGCTCCAAATGGGAAAACTTCAACTTGACCATAAATGGACTGGAATATCTTATTGGTTTAAATCTTCTTTCCTGTCCTGTGTGCTTTTCACAAATCCTAAAAATGTTGCTTAAAAATCCACATCTCCTTTGGAATGATTTCTACTGAATTACATAGAGTTTTTGAGGGAGAAAAAAAAAACACTCCTAGTTTTGTAATGAAGCTGCAATTAGTATAAAGTCGTAGTCTTTCTTCAAAGTCAGCTAAGGCTTTCAGTTGTGTAAAATGTATTCTGATATTCTTTATAATGCAGAGGCAGGATGCTCTGAGGTCAGAAAAAGGAAAATCAGTGAAAATATAAGTAAGTCAGCTAGTCCAGGGATATCCTATTTTTCCAAATTTATTTTTATCAGCAGTCTTGTTAAAAACAAAATTTCAAAAAACATTTTTGGTTGTCAAGTCCTGACCAGAGTATGCAAAGTTTCCACAATCTGATCTCATTTGTTAAAATACAAAATCAGTTTCTCAGTATGGTAGGCTCAAAAATTGTTGTTGTAGCCTTGGATTACCTTCTATATGCTTTTATGTACAGAAAGACAGCAAAACTAAAAGTTCTAGTTCAGTTGTGCACTTCTGAAATAGATGTTTATTATTTTTTTTAATCTATTGTCCTCATTAAGCAAAATCATCTGTGAGTTTTGTTTAGATTTATTTTATAAAAGTGCAGGAATAATTTTATAAAAGTGTAGGAATAATTTTATAAGCTTGGAAAGTATTAGATTTAGAAAAATTATTGTAGGAATGTACACTTTATACAGGGAAAAAAAATAAGAAATTGCCATTTTCTTTAGGTTCTTAGATTGTGCAGATTTCTTAGGTATTTAAGACTGCTCTTTATCTTATAGAATTCCTTCATGTTGCGTAAGAATTACAGTAATTATTGGATGCTATTTTAAAAACAATTTGCAGAGAAGTATCTCACCTGTTCAGAGGATATTAATCAGCTTAGAAGAGAGTGCTAATTTTGTGCCTGATTCCCAACACCCAGCAGCACGTGGCACAGCTGCCCTGTCACCAGTGGCAGGGTTACTCAGAAACACAGTGTGCCTCCTACATTATTTCTGTGAAGTACCATTTACTTGCACAAGAAGTTCCCTCGAAATTATTCATGTGAGGAAGTAAATGCTACTCGATTCAGGTGCCCACAGTGACAACAGTAGGGACAGGACATGCATGGCTGGCTAGGGTAATGCTAACTGAACAGGTAGGTATAATGCCGATGAGTTTGCTGGTTAAATAAAGAAGGGATACGTGTATGTAGACAAACCACACCATGTGCCTACCACTCTGTAGGCTTCCAAATTGCTAGCTCTGGTTTACTCAAATTTCCATACCTAATACCATACCTGAGACAGCTTCCTGTGGATCTGAATAGGGCTGGGAAAGGAAGGATACTGACTGTGCTATCTGACATGCCCTCAGGAAAGGCTGTGACACTTGGAACACTATTTCACAAGAACCAGTTATGACCTGGATTCAGACCCCATGGAAGCTGGCTCTTCACCTACCCTTTACCCACCCTTCACCCTGCCCCACTTTGTGAACGTGTAGAACGGAACAGTGGACTACGGAAGTGTGATACAGTTCTTCCCAATAACTTTGACAGGTTTTGGATCCAGTCTGATGAGATTTTAATGAACACTTTAAACTTTGCGTTTGCCAAAACTATGTTATAGATTGCAACTCCCCACTTGGTTTTCATTAGCATTTTACTTCTCAGTTCAAGACAACTATCTTTGTAAATAAGGTAGTACTCACCACAAATAGGGAGGTCAGTATCCTGAAGTTTTATAGAAGGCATTCTTTCCTTCTTAAGAAAGAAAGAAAACAGCAAAATCAGATTACATTGCCACAGTCCCAGGATAAAGAATTTAGCACCAAAAAAAAAAAAAGATGGGGGGGGGAGAAAAACCACATGCTTAGATGAAGAACACTAACTTATAATTCTTATTGATTTTTTTTCTTGATGTTTCAGGAACGTCTACTAAAAATGCTGATGCACAGCAGATATCTAATAATAACAACAGATACTTAGATTTAATATGAATATCTCTTTGAAAACAGGTGGTGCTTCTGTCATGGCAGCTTCTGGGTCTTTGAAAATACACAGAGGACACAGTCTCCAAGCTGGTAGGTAGAAGTGGTTATGAGGTATGTGTGTTCATATAAATTTAAATTAATTTAAACTTAAATTATTTTAAACTTCAGAAAATGTTAAAGACAATATATAACTTGATTCCCTATTGTAAGACTTACATATTTCTTTGGGTTTTTCTGCTTTGCAGAGTTTTTTGTTAGAAAGGCATTGACAGATGGGATAAGTTTAGAAGAGGCACTGACAGCTGAGATAAGTGTCAGATCATAGGCAGTAATCTTATTCACCGCAGTAAAATGCTGCCAGCACTTCAACAAAGAGCACCCAAAAAAACCCCACCTCGGGCCATGAGAAATCTGGTACTCTAGCAATGATGTGCTGGAAAAAAACCTCCACCATGCTTAAAGATAGTTCTTCATGATAATGGAGGGAAAACAAAACAAAACAATAACAGTAGATAAAATTAGTGGTGTTTGTTCGCTTTTTAGCTTGCCTTGTTTGAACTGAGATGGAGTCTGAGATCATGAGGGAACCTGGGCATCTTTTTTCAGCTTAGTGCTCTGGAACTACTGGTGATGTTGTGCAACTTGGCTTCTTGCAAAGATGAGGATTTGCACTTGGAAAGCAAAGTAATCCTTGGAGGGGATAGTTTAAGCATTTTCTACAGAGATTTGTCAGAAATCAAGACATTATCCATTGTACTGGAGGTGGAATTTTAACAAGTCTTCCAGATGCTCCCAAGATCACCCACACAGTTCTCCCTGATTCATGCATTCAAGACAGCTTTGCTCCCCCATTGATGTACAGCAAAACACACTGTTGACTTCAGTGGCCTTCAATGTCCTAGCATTTATTCCCTTGGTGTGGCACTCAGAAAACGCTGGCATCACCAATACAGAAAAGTCAACACTAGCCACTGTTCATGCTTTCTGAGAGTTTTCAGTACAATTATTCAGATTTAGAAGGTTACAAGTCAAAACCAGAAAATCATATGTTTTGTTTTCATTGTGCAAATTCCTAAATCCAAAGCTGTTGATGGTGTTCCTGTATTCTAGGTCCTAAAGGTGGTCATGAGATGCTGACACTTCCTGCAGAACCAGGAACTCCTACTAGCCCCGAGGAACCTGGTGAGTAAAGATCTTTACAGCCAGTTGCATTAGAGGACACTAACATCTCCTGTTTCTTTTTCCATTTCCTTTTTTGTTGTAATCTCCTCTAAATGTTTATTTTGAGTTGGTGGCCTTTGAACATGTCAGTTTTACATGCATGTTCTCTCACACACACTGTTATCTTGGGGCTGTGTTTGTGGTGTTGGTTTTCTTTCTGTATTTTTTATTGCATATTTCTGAGAATACTGCTTACATGGGGTAGAAAATATGACTAATATTTGCTGAAAAAAAAGGCTATAACACCAGTTTTTAATATAATTTTCTTCTTCCCTCCCCAGTATCTTTTCCTTTCTTTTCCCCCTCATTTCAGTGCCACTGCATTTTCTTTTTTACTCTTCTCCTGTTATTTGCTTAACTATCTTTTGTTCTTACTACCTTTTCCCCCCTTCTCTTCAAGCAATCATGATATTCTACCAATTCTTTCAGAATGTTGTAAACATGCATTTTGCTCTGTTTTTCTCTCTAATTATCTCTCTATAATGATTTCAAATACTGGTCCTCTGACCTCTCTTGTAAGCATCTTCTACGTCTGCCCACCCAGAACGGACTGCTGAAAGCACTGTCTGTGTCCACGGTGCTCTGTGTCCTGAATTGTTTTCTCAGTAGGAGCTTTTGACTGTCTTGTGCTTTTCAAACAAACCTTTCTCTCCAAATATAAGCCAGTTTTTAGTGTCTAATGAGTATTTTTATTGGAAGGAAAATGAAAATCCAAGTATTTCTATGTTTACAAAGAAAGCACAATTTCTATTAACAGCACAGACTAAGCAACAGAAGGCTTTTCCTTTCCTTCCATTCCAGTTTGCCCAACTTTGTTCTTGGTTTGTTTGTTTGCTTGTTTGTTTTTTCTTTGAGTAGAATATTTGATTGTTTCCAGGGGTTTATTTGTTCTGTGTGTTTCTTTAGCTTTTCTGGTGCAAAGCCCTACCATTTAATACATTTTTCTCAATGTGTTTTTTTAGTTCTCAGGAAAATCACTTGGCTTGTCTGCACTCAGCTTCCTGAAATGTTTCAACTATTTAGCTCTATATAGAAATTTGCTAGTTTTCATGCTAGCTAGCTTGAGGAGACTTAAACTCCTGCTACATCACTTTAACAGCGTATAGAACAACTTCAGAAATTATCTTTTCCTTCATGACTGTTCATGGCTCTGTATCAGTCTTTAAGATTGTCATTTGCTTACAGCTTGAAGTATTTGGGATGCAGGTTTTGAATGCTATGGTTGCTGAATCCCTTTTTTCACAGGCAGGCCAAATTCCTTTGAAATACTTTAGAAAGAATAATTGAGAATAATTTCTGAGAATGATGCTTGATGAAGATATAGAAATTTCTTCCACCTGATTTCCACCCCCCCGCCCCCTTTTCTTTTTGTTCCTAACACCTGGCTTTGGAACAATAACTTAAAGTCTGACCATCAGAAAAATGTCTGGTTACTTTGTGGATGTTCCTATGTTTTCCTTATGAAAATCTGTCAGAAAATTCACCAACTTTTCAGGCTTTTAAAATTTTGGACTGCATAGTAGACTCCTTTGATTTAAATAGCTTAATGCTGGAGAGATTCCATTATCCTGGAACCTGCTATAGCCTCTGACAACTCTTACTGTTGCCTGACTTTATATGGGCTGCCTCTGGTACTCAGAGTCCAAGAAAAAGCAAAAGTTCCCCTTAGTGGCTATTCACAGCTGCTGTTGGTTGGGTATAAGAAATTATTCTGTCCTGGGCTTTAAAAATATTCAATCACCTACTGCCTCTACATTCAGATCTCATCAGTGTCTGAATGGACAGAAAAAAAAAAAAAAAAATCAATGATTTGGACAAATCAAGTTTTTATACAAGTTTTATGTGGGGACAAGGAAGGGCTTAATGGGAGACCTTCCGGGAAAGAGAGAACCTGAAAGTAAGGCCATTTTCCCTCTGCACTCCTTTGTCCCAAACTGACTTAACAGCAGGAAGTGTTTCAGGGTAAGAACTTCCAACTGAACTGGACAGGGGGGTGATTACTAGCCTGCTGGGTAGGACAATGAGAACGTGACTCAAAGCCTTGCTCAAGCTCAGAGGGAACTGCAGGTTTGTGTTTGTGTCTCCCTAGCCCAGCTAATTCTGAAAAGTCTCTTGGTATTCATGGACTGTGAAACTAGATGTAGGTACCTGATGTCAGTTAAGGGGTTGAAGGCTGAAATGCCTGGCTGGCCACTGAAAAGCCTGCTACTTTCTCTCTTAGTTTCACTTCTGGTAAGATTAGAATAATTGAAAGTAGGGCTAGAAGAGGTCTTGAGAATTCATCCAGTAGACAAAAAAGTTGTCTTTAAGTCAGAATCATTTTAGAGAAAAATGTTTCCTAGTAGGTGTTAGTATTTCTCTTTTTTTAGAAATTTCTAGATGCAAAAATTCTTCAGCCTCTGTGGGATTTCCTCTAGTGTTCTTGTCATCTTTACTATTAGAGATGTTTTCTCACTGTCTAATCTTCTACTTTTTTCCTGCAATTGAAGGCTTTAATTACTTGCTCTGTCCCCACTTGGCATTGTTCCTGTCTTTTTCAACTCGATACAGGGAAGCTGTCAGCATTGACTCCTCAAGCTTGCCTTCCTCTTACTTTAAAAAATTCTTCAGTCCCTATTTTTGGGACATACTTTCTGAACTTCTAGTGATTTTGGTTGCTCTCTTGTGGATGATGTAATAGTCCACATCTTCCTAGGGCAGATTGCTTCATATAAGGCTTTACTAACCTGAGTTAGAGCTGGAAGCCTTGTCAGGTAGTGTTATATACATTGCTTCTGTTTGAAAATTTCTGCATAATATTTGCTTTCTGTCACAGCATAGTGAGATCCCTGGCTGTGGTCTGTGGTCTCCTGCACAGATCCTGACTTGAACAGACTCTGAGGTTCTTTTCTGTAGAAACCTTAATCTTCTCATGTCCAGTCTACCACCAAGGAATGTACTGTTTGGCAAGATGAATTGTTGCTGCTGAATGTTTTCTTTCAGAACATTTGACAGAACATTGGGTTTTTATGCAATGCATCATTGGTCATTGCAAACAGTGTTTATAATAATGTGTTACTTACCTTAGAAGGAGCAGTGGGTTATTCAGCTGATGTCGCTGCATCAGATCGACCTCACAGCGAGACAGCCACCTATGTTAATATTCCTGTCAGCCCTACTTCCAAAAAACAGCTTCATTACATGGAACTGGAACTTCAAGAACCCAGCACAAGCATAAGAGGTAAGGAAGTTCTACAATAGTATTTAAACAACAAAGGAAGCAGTAATGTAGACTCTGTTGGGAATCTTAATTTCTCATCTACCCACAGGCTCTTGCTAACAGAGCACTTGAACCCTGGTACATTTGTGAGGCAGTTCTTGTGACTGCCAACTCTTTAGGAAAAGATTTTTAAGTAATGGGTTTCTAGAAGATGTTGCAGCCCTCTGACAGTTGCATTCTATGTGCACACCTTCTAAAGTGAACATTTCTGTGTCTGTGGAGTTTGACAGACAGTAATTTGCTTAATGTTCTGAAGATTTCCATCACATGTATTACGACTACTCTTACTTGATTTTTCTTGCTTGTTTTCAGAAACAGGGTTGTGGGTATAGGTGTATGTGGCTTGCTCCTGAAGATACTACCTCTGGAGACATGCAGCAAATGCTTAGGAATTAAACACAGTGGCATTCTACCTGTTCTCCATGAGGAAGTGTGAAAGTGCTACAGAGAGGAAGCCAGCCCAACTATATGTATTTTTTTTAATTAATTTGTCTGGATCTAGGTGTTTTACTTCTAATGTTTAACTTGGACAATCATCACAAAAACATGCATTATAGCTGCCATGTATTGTCATTTAGGGATGCATTCATCCTTACAGAAAGCCCCTAATCAGGATCTGGCACCTAATTGCTCATGTTTGCTATTGATGGGTTTTCCATGTATAGTTTTCAACTATTGAGATTTTAATTTTTATACCTTTAATTTCAGCAAGTTAATTAACTTTGAAATGCTAGCACTTTTCCCATTGCTTTGTTTTATGTTTATATGGCTCTAGTTAAGTAATTCTAATCTTCTCCTAGACTTTAATATAGTTCTCTGTACAACACCCTGTTGAGATGTAAAACTGATATTTTATCGTCATTTTAAAGACAGTGAGCCAAGGCATTAAGCGTGAAGGGACAAATTCCGTAAACTGACATAAACTTTCCTAAATGTCAACCACCAACCCATGCTCAACTTGTAGCTTTAAAGGTGCCTCTACCAACCATAAATATTTTATTTTATTTTTTCATAGCGAAGCTTTCCCAGCCTGGAGTTGTGTGTCTGCACCCATACAGAACTGTTCTGCTCCTGAAGAGACTGAGCAGCTTTTGTCTCCCTTATTGCCAATTATTAGATTAAATTGTCATTCTGTCTAAAGCTGAAAGTGGTTGATCTGATAAACATCCAAAGTGCCTAATCCACACAAAGAAGAATCCCCGCCAACTGCCCTACTAATGGTGTTTTCTTTTCAAATACCAGATGTTGTTCATTTACTGACTAGAAGCCTGCTGCTGAAGCCTCCCAGAAGTGGGAAAGCCAGTTCAATTTTGTCTTCTGGGAGGAGTGGGAGTGGATATTCAAACCTGGGGAAGAAATACCAGTGGTTCAATTGCTTATTTGAAGAAAAACAGATAGCTAAACCATGTAGATAACAAAGCTTTTGAGGGTTTTTAGTTGTGATTATCACCTTCCTCCCTTTATAGAGCTTGCTTTAAGACCTAACCAAGATCATCTAGGAATTCTGTGGAAGAAGTGTCTCAGTAGCTTTACACTGGGTCAGTTTTACCCAGGAATATATGAGGGGTATAGTCTTTGACATGATTCCATTTGGCGTTTCAGGGAGTGGATCATCCCGATATGCACAGATTGACATTGCAGCCACCGAGACAGCGCACAAGGTGGGAACGCAGCATGCTCAGTGCCGGGAGGAACGCTTGCAGGAGCTAGAGCAAAAGAAGAAAGGGGCTCAGCAATGACCTGTCTAGGAGAGAACTTTTTGCTCATCTTAAATTGGTACTAATTTGTCTTCCAAAGGATTCACATTTATTGTAAAAAATACTCATACAAAAGCTGCCATTGCTTATTGCATTTATACCAGATTCATTCCCATATATTGACTCCTAATTGGAAAGCTGGTAGCATGAGGGGATGTGTGGTCTTTCTTTTCATTTTAATTTGGTTGCAAAGTCCAGATTTTTTTTTCATATGTAATCACAGGTGTAAGTCACCTTTATCTGTAATTATGAACTCCTGGAAGAAACCTGGAACCAATTCCAGTGTTTATTAAATAGTGGCATTTTCTTTAAAAATAAAGAACTTGAATGTGTGCAGATAGGGGAAAGTAAGTGTGTGTGTATGGTGTGTGTACTCATCTGTCTGCATGTGTGCGTATGTATATTTGTATGTAAGCACACATTACTGATAAAATATATGTATATATCTGAGAGTATAAAATATGTAAAACCTCTATTAATATATTCATGGCTCTTACAAAAGCAAGAAAATTCAGTACCTGATTTTTTGCAGGCAGTTTTGTGGAATTTATGTGCTTATTTATGGACATGCTTAACTTTACCTATGAGTAATTCAGTTTTATACCTCACCAAGAGTTCTGTAGCTTTGGTTAAAGTTGCTCAGACTCATAAGCTGCAGTTCAGGGATGCATATGTGTATGCATACAGACAAGAGCCTACACAAACCAGTTATTTAATTTAAGTATGCCTATAAACCAAAGTAATTTGAAGGGACATTTTAGGTGCTTTTGTTCTTAAAAACCCTGCTTTAGACACCATAACCTTTTATTTCATACTTGCTTTGTACTTGTAATTCTTAGCAAGTTCCTGGAGTTGAACATACGTATCAGTTTCAGAATTAGGTCCCAGGTTTCTCATACAAAAAAATCTTAAAATCAGGGTACTCAGAAGAAACACTAACTTTTGAAAATTGAGTCTTTTATTTATATCTCCAAAACTATGCCTAATGTAAACCAGGATCAACACTGGAATACCCACCTTGAGCCTAAAACTTTAATTGAATAATTCTCTGCTGTCCCTAAATAGCATAAAACCAGTTCTGTGTAAGAGCATGATGGCTTCAGAGATGTTACAGAATTGAGGCACAACAGCATGTTCTGTTGTAATGTAAGTTTATTCACAAGTCTTTGACATCTTGCTTTTGTACAGTGAGATTGTATGATTCAAAACTTGACTTAGTTTCTTGTGCTGCATTGTCTATATAATTCTTGTGTTCTATGTATTTGTCCTGATACAAAATGTTATTTAAATAAAATGTTATGGCAATGACACTACAGTAACAAAGCAGTGTACTTGTGGAAAAAACCCCAAATTTGGGCCTGCAATAAGATAACAGCTTTGGCTTCCGGAAGTTGTCAGGAGTGATATCTTTGGTATCATGATTTTTTGACTTGTGCTCTTAGGATAAAATATCACAGCCCAATTCTGTTTTTCAGATATGCATTGTAATTCCTATTGCTGAGTGAACATTTTGTGCCAGTGAGGGTTTCACTAAGTGGAAGGAGAGGTGGGTGTTTGTTTTTGAGGCAGAATTTAGCCTATAAATTTATTTGAATGTAGCCTCAATAGTAATGTAAATATCTCAAATAAAAAAAAAAATGTATTTGAGAGGTGACAATTGCCATTGTCACCTGTCTTGTGCTAAGATGTACTTTTCCATTTATCAGCCTAACATATTTCTGAAGAGAAAATAAATATTTCTTATGAGATTCCCAGTTTAAAAGATTTTTCTTATTTGACAAATGGACAGTGGTGAACTGCTTTGTAAACACATATTCAGCACAACTGGGCTGGACTTAGAGCTCCTTGGGACCAGGTTTATTTAAGTGAACTGCGATTTAATTAAGGGTCCTCCACTGGAGGACTTGCAGGGTTAAATCTCTTGCTATGTGCTTATTTCTATTTAATATTTAAAATGAGCACTGCTTGCCTGATGCACTGAAATGCAGTGTTTTCCACCATGATATATAATGAAGCTGCAATATTTCTATTGTAAAAAACTGTTTACCAGGAAAATATATTAGCTAGGTTCTCTACAAAGACTGCCTTTCTGTATTTTGCTCAAAATTGCTTGCTTTCAATCCTGGACTTGCAGCATGGGTAAAGATTTGACACAATAATACAGGTCACCAGATTGCTGCTGGCCTTATAGAAGGACTCATAATTTTTAAAATATGTTTTTTGGGTTGAACAAGACTGTGAATCTCTACATGCACATGGGTCTCTGTACACGTGTTTGTATATTTCATAGTAGCTTCAACTAGGATTAGCTTGGTGGCTGGATATAAATTTTTACTTATAGCCTTTGTTAATATTAACGTAATTATCCTATAAGGCTTTCTACAAATGAAGTAATTAACTTTTTAGATTTGTCTTTCTCCTTTTGTACTTAGCTTGAATAAGACAAATAGAACAGATGACTTTCACTTATTTTTTAAATTGACTTCATATTCTCATGCACTAAAATTATGCTTAGGAGGCTGAAGCAGGAGGCCAAATCTTACTATTGCATCTATTAAAAACTGGTAGGTTGTTTTTATAATAGCTTGCAGGCCTCCCTGTCAAGTTATAGGCTTCACATTTCTGTCAAGGAAACTAAAGTTTTCTCATTTGAGCAGGAGCTCACAGAAATGGAAAACTTTTTTCCTAAGTAAATAAAATAAGGTGCCTTCAATTTCCAGAGGTGAACTTGGGAAAATGGAATTGAAACCATAAACCTATGAAGCCTGTAGCCTCTGTGGGTTAACTCTAGTACTGTGGTTAATGTAGGAATAGTTAGGGGTTTATTCGCATGCCTTGCATAAAACTTGTGCATAAGTGAGCTAAAATACAGTTTGTGATGAGTTCAGATTCAGAGCTCTGCAAAAAACCACAGATGATCTCTGTTTTGGAGAGAAAAGTGATTTGTAACTTCTGCTGGTACAAATGAAGAACAAAACAACGTGATGTGGTTGCTATTTCTGTCAGGTGTTCTTGAAGTAGTTTTAACATGGCAGAAGCGCTCTCGGTGATGAGAAAACACGCTGTCAGCAAGCGCAGTGTTTGGGCATAACCCTTAGTGTGTTGTGTGCATGCCTCTTTCTTTCTGATAGTCCTACCCAGTAGGTTACTGCCAAACGTAACTGCTACTTCAGTGGGGTTTATGGCATTGTTTATAAGCTGTTATGGAACATATTTATATGCAAATATTTGGGTGATGGAATTTCTCCAAGTTAACATGTGGTGCAGGATGGAGGGCTGGAGTTTGGAGGCATTTTATTGCCCAACAATGCAAATAGTTGTCTGGGTTTTAATAGCACTCTGGTACCTAATTGTGAAAAATGCCAAGAGGTGTCTTTAGGCATCTAAATGTGCATGAAAATCTGCCCCGAGAGTTGTTTTTAGCAAATAGCTTGGAAAAATTCCTCATCTTCCTCCCTGCTGTAAACAAAACAGTTTTAATTACTGCAGTTTGGAAAACTATACTCGAATTTGAGTTATGAGTGATTACATTTTTTTAATGAGGTGCTGAAACATGCACCTTTCGGTAAGTACCTTCTCTAGCTTGTCTGAGATAACCCAAGTATTCTTTGCTAAAGTGACCAGAGGAAGATAGGATTTCACGGGTCACTAGGCACTCAGTTCTGTTAAAATTATATATTTTTTTCAGATGACATTGTTGTGTTACATTTTTATGTCGCCTTTTATCTGGGAAGATGCTCAGTTCTCATTCAGCCTGTCATACAAACATTATTTTACAATCTAGATTGAAAGGAAATATTAATTTAACACCATACAGCAATAAGAATGAACAGAACAGAGTAAGAATGGAAGAACTAGAGGTTATTAAATAGATGTTTGTAAGGAGTAGTTCTGTAAACATGTGTCTTTTCAGTGTAGACAAATAGAATTAAGGAAAAGTGCCTTTTTTTTTTTCCTTTAAAAAAAAAATAATTGGATGGTTTCTGAGTCTTCAGGGTAGCCTCACTCTAAGGCTTAGGACAGTGATGAACAACTGGTTATAGATAAAAACCAACTCTCCTATGGACTTTCTTGGTAAGGCTGGAATGTAAATGATAGGAAAATACATGCAATTCAGGTCCTGGATTCTGATACAATAAATGGCTTTATAAGGCATGGGGCAGGTTTAGGAAAGTGCAACTGCTGAGTGAACTTTGAGTTTAGTAAAAACTTTAGGGTGACTGAAAGTTAACTTTCCATTTGTCTGCATTAGAGCATCTAGAAATAATTCAAATTTCTTATCCCACTGTGTACACAGAGGCGTATGTAACACCACCATTTTACTGAAATAATGTCAGCTTATTTGAGGAATGTGCAGTGGGGGGGTGGGATCAGAAAGCAGATGTAGCATGACAGTAATTTGTCTCTACATTACATTATACTGTTGTGAAATCCCTAAAAAAGAAAATAAAAAACCCACTCTACCATCTGCTATTGTATAAGTTCAATTTTACTTGACTGTGGGCTGAGCTGGCAATTTATGGATAGTTCATATACAGAAAATAGAGCAGATTGCATGCTTGGAAGGGAATCTGGCCTTTGGATACCAAAATTTTATTATGTAATGAATTGCTCAGATTCATCACCCATCAGTGTCTCTGCTACAGTTGGAAGGTGTACCCTGTGGACTGCCCTTGGCTGAGGTAACACTCTTCATCCTTTTACTACCAACAGTCAGCAGTATTGGACACAAATTGGGAAGCACGAGAAAAATTCATGTTGGGAGTTTGATGGAGAAGTAGGTAGGTGTCAGCACAGTTGTCCTTTGCCAGCTTTGCCAGAAGAAGGGCAGGGACAGGGTGACAGAAGAGTATTTGAGTCTGTAAAATGCAGTTCGGGCCAGTGCTGGAGACTGCTGGCTGGATTGCTGCTTTGTGTATGAAGTGTGGTTGTAGAAGGAAGTAGTTTCCTGGAAAAAGCTGAGGTTGCTGTTGTGTCCTCAG